GTGAGAGGGGTTTTTGGGAGCTGAGGCTCTGTCTGCAGAGCAGGGCTCTGTGTGAAGGATTTTTGGGAACTGTGGCTCTGTGTGAGAGGGGTTTTTGGGAGCTGAGGGTCTGTCTGCAGAGCTCTGTGTGTGAGGGGTTTTTGGGGCTGAGGCTCTGGGTGTGAGGGGTTTTTGGGAGCTGAAGGAACACCAGGGATGGTGGCACGCGTGGAAAAAGGAGGATCAGCAAAACGGTGGAAGCCCTGGGACTGAAGGGCAGCCAGATGGGATGGAACCTTACTGGAAGGAAACGTGTTGACTCAAGCAAGTGGGTAGAGCCTCTGTTTTGTTTGGCTGGAGAATTTCCTCTGGAATGGGGGTATTTCTGTGATCTCTCAGAAATTGTGCGTTTGAGTTTGCAGCCCTTGATTGCCAGGCGCCTGTCAGAGGAGGTGAGGGCCTTTTTTTTTTTTAATAGATTAAGCAGCCCAAGCACAGAATTTCAATTACAGAGCCAAGGGAAGTCGTTGTCTGAGCAGGGGCTGGATTGTGCTGAGGGAGCAGAAAGGTTTCGCTTGAGTTTTCTCCCCCCACTCGGAGGGGAACTGTGGGCAAAGCCCAGGAAAGGTTGAAGAAGAGCTTTGCAAACACAAGCAAGTCAGATCTGATCCTCTCGTAGCTGTAACAGGACTTGCAGGTGGTTTTTGTGCATTTATGCAGCATCTCACCCACAAGTCTTGCATTAGGCAAAACCAGCACTGGGAAAGCTTTTATGTTGCTTCCTCAATTTACCTGCAGGACTGACTGAGAGCGGATGGGCCCCAAATCTGCTGAGAAAATCTGTGTCTCTTGTGTGCAGCCAGCACAGGCACAGCTCTGAGAGCTTTGAAATGCCCAAAAAAAAACCCTCTTGGAGGCTGTCACAGGGAGCTGGCTGTGCTCACCCAGGGATCATCCTCCCAGCCTTGGTTGGCTCTGCAAAGATCCTGACAAAGATCCTTCGCTGCAGATGGAACTGTGGGGGTTTTTTAAGCCTTGCAGCCCGGGAAGAAGCGATGCAGACGTGGAGCACACAATGTCTGTGCCACAGGAAAAGGAAATCCAGCAAGAGGAGCAGAGCACCAGATCCCCAGTGGGGGCAAACAGAAGGTCCCCGGGATGATCCCAGGATCTCTGCTCTGCAGATGGCCAGGGCAGGGTGATTCCAGTGATTAATGGTTTGGAGAGAGGGAGTTAAACACAAACACTGGGAAAGGAGTATTTTGGCTCCTGCGAGTGGGAGTTGGGTTTGCTGTTGGTGCAATGACTGAAGCATGTGAGCCAGGGGGAAGAGGAGGAAGGTTTTTGGAGCATCCAGGCTGGAATAATAAAGGGTGAGCAGGAGACTTAAAGAATGTGCATATTTCTGTGTTGTCCCTTTTATGCTTAGGAAATGAGGACCGAGTTTGGGGCTGTTTTTAAAAGCTGCAGCTCTGACCCTTTGCCTTGGGGAGAGGAGGAAATTAGAGGCTTTGAAGAGAGTCCTGCACCTTCTCTGAAGCTCTGCAGGAGTTGGAACCAGTTCCCTCAGCTGGGAGGAGGGGCTCTCTGGTAGCAAGGATTCCCAGTTTGTCCTTTATGACTCCGAGTGCTCCCAGGATGGGGGATATTTGCCGTTCCAGCTGGATCCTGGGGCTGGGGACACTCCCCAGACCCGCCGGCCCATCCGCGCCGGAGCCGCCGCGCTCGGGGTTTGCTGTGGTGGTGTCCTACATAGCTGGTGCTCAGTTTGCTATTTTGGATTCTGGAGCATGAAACATCGAGCAGCAGATGTGATGGGTGGCAGGGGAGCTGCACAGAGGCAGCTGCTGCTCTTCCCCAAACCCTTGGGGCTCCGCAGGGGAGGCGCCCGTGGAGAGCCCCACGAGCTTCTGCTCCGTGGGGTGACGTGGTGGAAAAAAAAGGGTGATGGTTCCTTCCTGAGCCCCTCTCCCCTGATTAGTGTTTGTCCTGGAGTTCTCTGCTCCCTGGATTTATCGTGTTTGTTCAGTGGCAAGTTTTTCAGGAGCCAAAGAGTGAACTCATGGCGAGCGTTCCCGAGGGACGGGCCGGGGAGCCGGAGAGTTCCTGTTTGCATTTCTCTCAAAGACAATGAGCAGATAATTTCTCAGGATGGTTTTGTCTCAGTTAGAAAAAGCATTTCCTGAAAGCTCTCCGTGACTCCCTCACTTGCTTTTTGGGCCTGGATCTGGAGAGATTGAAGCATTCCTCAGTTGGGGCTGACTCAGTCCCAAAATTTGTTGGAGAGCTTGTGAAATCAGGGAAGAGCCACCAGGCCAGGATGTCTCGTTGTATTAATTAGGATGGAAGAGTCTTTACATTTGCACCATGTGTGAGGAAACAGTGATTTACAGCTAAAGGATGCTCCACAGGCAGCAGCATTCCATCTGCTCCACGGATTTTCCCGTTGCACTCCTGATGAAAAGCCTCAGGAGAAGCCTCACACCTGTATTTCCCATCCTGGATCGTGTGCTGGGTTGTTCCTGGCTCGTTCCTCTTGCCTGGTGTTGGGACTGAAGTGCCTGTTGCCATCAGTTTCCATCAGCTCGTGTTCTTTTCAGACTTCAAAGCCGAGGGTTTGGGAAGCACCACTTGGAGTAAACACAGGCAGGATTTTATTTGAGTCACACTGAGCTTATACCAAAGATAGCAGCGTGACAGTAACTTAAACTTCCCTCCCTGTGAGCAAACACCTCGTTTTATTTAGTGGGACTTGGGATGATTAAAAGGAAAACCAGAAAAAGAAAAAAAAAAGCGAAGTTTTATCACATAAACTTTTTCTGATTCTTGTTGACTTGAGAATTGCTGATGCAAATTCTGGGTCTTCTGGCCTCTGAATTCCACAGGGATGGGAGCCCACGGAGCCTACAGGGCATCCATTAATCCATCCTGTGAGCCCAGGATGCCCCTTCCTGCCTGAGTGAGCAGTCAGACAACCTGCTTTTCGCCCAGCTCCGTGTCCTTAGGGAGCAAAAAAAAACCAGGGAGAATTGTATCCCTGCCTGATAAAATTAGGTCTCCTGTAATCTGCCTCGGACCAGCCGGATGGATGGCTGCCTGCCTTGAAAAACAGATGTTTTAATGCAGGAATAATGCACTATTCCATTTGGGATGGCTGGTGGCTGAGTGCACCCCCGAGCGCTCCCAGTTTTGCCTCTGGGCTCAGGACTGATGTCACACACGGGGTCTAAAGTGCAGCAGTGGAAAAAGAATGGTTTGGGATGTTTCTCCTGCCTTTGTCTCTGGAGAAGGATATTGTTCCTGTGTCTTCATCCTAAAGGAGCTGGGAAACGAAACCTTTTACTGGAGATGAGGCATAAACTGCAAAGAGGTGAAGTCAGAGCCTGTGTTCCTGGATTTTAGCTCACTGCACTGGAAAATTTCTTTGGGAATAGCAGCACTGGTGTTCCTCTGCTACAGGTTTATGATGAATTTCTCTGAGAGCAGCACAGGTAACTTTTGGAGGAAGTTCTGTTTCATCCCCTCCAGTTCTGCAGAGAGGAGGGGAAGGGACCTGCCAGAGCTCCCCTTTTCCAGAGGGAAGGGACCTGCCAGAGCTCCCCTTTTCCAGAGGGAAGGGTCCTGCCAGAGCTCCCCTTTTCCAGAGAGAAGGGACCTGCCAGAGCTCCCCTTTTCCAGAGAGGAGGGACCTACCAGAGTCTCCTTTTCCAGAGGGAAGGGACCTACCAGAGCTCCCCTTTTCCAGAGAAGGGACCTGCCAGAGCTCCCCTTTTCCAGAGGGAAGGCACTGCTGTCCCTGCAGTCCCACATCCCTGTGGTTCACAAAGATCCCTGTGTTCCCTTGGGAATCCACCCTCACGTGGCACTTCCCCCTCCTCCTCCCGAGCCACAGGAAGCTCAGGACAAGGATTTTCCTCCTGCTCATTTTCCACATGAGCCATCTCCACCAGGATGGGCTGTGGGTGACTGTCCTTTAACACATCAGCTCTTCATTTTGGGTGCTGATGAACCTGTGACACAGGGAACCATTCCAGCTGGAGGCCCCTTTCCTGGCAGTGCTGTGTTTGCTCCCTGGGATCCATCAGGGTTGACCTGATGTTTTCTTTCCCTGCAATTATGAGCGAACCCTTCTGTGGGAACAGCGATCCCAGAGAGGGGCTGAGCAGCCAAAAGAAACCCCAAGGAGGGGAAGGAGGCCTGGGGAGTTTTGTGCTCCCTTTCTAGTGAGAGGTGAGGGCAGAGCTGATGGTTGTCTGAGGTCACCCTGGGCTGTGGGGTGAGGAAGGGAGGAAGGGAGCGAGGAAGGGAGGAAGGGAATGTTGTCCCTGCTGACATTCCCACTGTCCCTGCTGACATTCCCGCTGTCCCTGCTCACATTCCAGCTCACAGTGTGCGTTGTCACCGGGACCAGGAGCGGGGAGAATTCCTCCCAGGAGCTGGGAGGTGACATGGCAAATTCCAGGCTGTGATTATTCCCCCTGTGCTGGAGAGTCAGGCAGATAAAAGCCCCTGATCCTCTTCGGTGGTTCTGGGAGAGAATGAACAGATCTGCAGCTTGTTAAACTGGGCTGCCTTTTTTTCCTCCCCCCCCTTAATTGAACACAAGCAGGAAATGCCTGTTAAAGGTGCTCCATTGGTGGCACTCAGGAGCTCGTGGTGTGTCCCACGGGGGGGTTGGAGCGAGGTCCTGGTGACTCTGGTTGAGGGACACGGAAAGGGAAAGGGTGTCGTGGGTAAATTCACCCAGTGTGGCATCTCCAGGCTGGAGAAATCCTGTCTGTTCCCTGGTGTGTGTCCTCAAGAGCTGCATCCCGGGTTTCATAACCAAGCCCTTGGCAGCAGGGTTGGCTCAGGCTGCCCTCACCTCTTCCACCTCACTCTTTCCATCTCGGAATGGCAGAGCCGTGAACTTCGGCAAACCAGGGGGGAGGGCACTTGGGGAAAACTTTTAGGAATCTGAGCTTTGTTTCCTTTAAAAAGATACCTAAACTTTCACCTTGTTTCGGGGGCAGTGAAAGAATTTGTAAGTGAGCAAATTATTGAGTGTTTTGAGAGGGTTTTTTAAAGGCTTTTGTGGCAATCCCGGAAAAATACTGAACGTGAGGCTGAAGCTTCTGGTGTTACAAAAAGGGAGATCTCAGAATGGTGTAAATGTTTTTAGAGTCTGAGACCAGTTGTTTATTCTTAGGGCAGAAACTCTTCAAGTGATCCCTTGTGGATTTAAAAAAAAAAAAAAAAGAAGAAACAATTCTTATTGTGAGGGGAACGAAAACCCTCCCTTTCTTACACAGTTTGGGGTTGGAAGTTGCCACAGTGAAAAGGGGGAAGTCTCCTTGTTTTGAGTCCCCAGGCAGGAAGGGGAGATGCACAGGGCTGAGGTGAGGGGCTGGGTCACAAACCAGGGCACAGCAGACCCTGGGACACGTTTTCACTCCCACTGTGACATTTGCAGGCTGGGAATTTGAATGTTCAGGGGGTTTCTCGGTGATGCTGATGGTGAGTTTTGGTTGAACATGATGTAAACCCACTGTTATTAGTGGAATTTCTCCTCTCTGCTTTAAACTTTCAAGCCCTCCTGGAAAATACCCCGAATGTAAAAAGTCCTGCGGCGCAGAAAAAAAAAAAGTCAATTATTGAGTCCCAAATAGGGAGAATTGAGGATGAAGGCGAAGCAAATGAGTCAGATATAAATAATCCCATTATGTCTTGGCTGCAGCCACACCTAGAAACCTTGAGCAAACATTTCTGTTTGGTTATTCCCGTGTTTGATACACTTTGCTTGTTAAGTCCTGTTTTAAAATTGCAGCATGTAAAAAATTGTGCAGGGCCAGTCCCCATCAACATTAAAGGCTCAGGAACATGTTTCAAGTCACTTTGACCAGAAGCACAGAGGCCTGAGCTGGGACACTGTTCATTTGCTCTGATATTTTCCCAAAAATCAGAAAAATCCATAGCCCTGGAGCCGGGTTGTTGCCTTGGAAGGCTCTCAGGGCAATTCTTTTTGCAGTAGGCCTTTAAAAAAAATGTCTGGCTGGAAGAGCAAACAGGAAGATGTAATTACCCTTTGCCTTTTGTGTGTCAAACCCTCGTTCATTGGACAGAGCTTTGGTAAAACACTTTTAGGAGCAACTCCTTGGAGCATGGAGGGTGTAAGGAAAAGCACTTGGATCCAGCAGAGTCCTGCGTGATGTGTTGGGATTAATGTCCTGTGTTTTAGGGGGTAGTTACTCACCTCAGAGTGTGGGATTCAGGGTTGATGAGCTGATTTTTAATACATCTGAACAAAGCCATTTTTCCAGGTGTGACTGGGAATTGGGATCCCTTCCCTGCAGTGATCCCAGTTATCTGTGGGGTGGGAAGGTGGCTTCTGGTGTTGAACCCGATGGGAAGAGCCAAGTGGAAATCCAGGTTCACATCCTGGCAGCTCTCAGGGATGTGTTTGTGGAGCCTCACACTCATCAGTGTTGAGTTTGCAGCAAAGGTGACTCTTTTCCCACCTTCCAGAGATTTAGATGGATTCAAGGAAGCAACAAGGGAGGAGGGCACGGAATAAGGTGGAGGGTGGTGATAACACTTCTCCAGGATGCCAGAACTTGGCCTGTTCTCCCAGGAAAGTAATTCCTTATTCTGTTCTGGTGTGAGACAACAGGACACCTTCCTGGGGATGTTTAAAATGACAGGACACCTTCCTGGGAGCAATGGGATGGTGCGAGCACGGAGATGTCCTACGGCACCACGGGCACACTCCTCTCCCAGGGAGGCACAAGGGTTTGGGCACGAGGATGAAAGGAAAGACTTGGCTGGAGAACCAGGGGGAGGAGTAAATAGTTTTCCATGAGAGTTTGGCTCCGGGTTCTGGAGGATCTGGGAGCTCTCCTTGCCCTGCAAAGCGACGACCTCGGGGTTGTGCCGGTGCAGCCGCTCCGGGGTCTGGGGGGAGAGGAGCTCACAGGAATTCCCAGTGCTGCTGTGGGATCCTTGACACCAAGAGAGGAGCCTGTAAAACAGTCCAAGAAAGGGAGAGGGAGATCTGGGAGATGTCAGAGCTGGTTTTTCTGTGATTCCATCCAGAAGAATTATTGCAGAAGAGCTTCGGGTTCCTGCGGGCGAAGCGTGAGGACGAGTCCCCGGGAGTTGCTGTCACACTGGGATGAGCTCGCAGCTCTTGGATCCTTTCCACCTTTTCAAGGGATTGTTTGAAGCTGTTTTCATGGATCCCTACTTGAAAGGTGGATTTCTGCTCCTTCAGCACATTCTGCCCCAAGCAGTCGCCGACAGATCCGTGTCTTAACTCACTAAACCAGTTAATGGTGGAACTGGGAGCACTGGGAGCACCTTTGCTGTCTCCCTGGGACACTGGGGGGGGGATGGACTGTACTGGCCCTTCCAGGGAGTTCCCTGGCCCAGGGGAAAGAGCTGACCAGGGGTTTCCTGTGCTGCCCTTTCCCTGGGATCCTGCTGGGTGCGAATTCCAGGCGTTATCAGGGGTGGGAGGCACATCTGAAGAGGAAGGAGGCAGCGAGGCCGGGGGCAAAGTGCCAACTGCTGCCAGCCTTTGTCAGGGACTGAGGGAATCCTGTGCCCATTTGGACACTGGTGCAGAACCCTGAGGGAATCCTGTGCCCATTTGGACACTGGTGCAACCCCTGAGGGAATCCTGTGCCCATTTGGACATTTGTGTAGCCCCCAAGGGAATCCTGTGCCCATTTGGACACTGGTGCAGCCCCTGAGGGAATCCTGTGCCCATTTGGACACAGCAGAACCAGGGCTGGAGGGAACAGCTCCCTGGAGTTTCCTGAGGTGCCACAGCCCGTGGGTGTTTTCTCTGGATGCTCCAGGTTGGCTGTCACCGAGGTCAGGGTCGTGTTTGGTGGGAGCATCTCAGCTGGGAGTCCCCCCCGAGGAGTTTATTTATTTTCTTTCTGCATTTCTCTGGCAGTTCTGTGTTGTGCTTCCAGAATCCCAGTGCTAGAGAAGAAACAACCCTGTTGTGCTTCCAGAATCCCAGTGCTAGAGAAGGAACAGTCCTGTTGTGCAGGGGAGACTGGAGGGAAGTGGTTGTTTGATTTCCCCATCATCATAATTTCTCTTGAGGGGCTGTTACGTAGCGTGGCACGAACTTCACTTCCATGGAACATCTGGAGTCAGCAGAGAAGTCCTGGAGAACAAACTGGAGGGCAGGGATCCAACCCAGAGATCCACAGCCCTCCTTTCTCAGAGGTTTTGCTTAATTGCAAGTTTTCTGTTTGGCCGTTAATCCTTTGCTTTCTCTTTCTTGGCAGAGTGTCTTGTCTTTAAATTACTGCTGTCAACACGTCCTTGGGCCCTTCCTGCCCCTCCAGCCCCCCCCAAACTGTGCAGTGCTGCTCTGGTTGGCTGGGAGAGGCCTCGAGGTTTGCAGCTGAAAGCAAAGCCTGCTGTGAACATCATATTTTATCCAGCAGAGATGAGCATCTCCCTGGTAATATTCCATTGACACCCCTGGTTCTCC